TGGAACTGAAGCATCTGATTCATTTCAATTTTAAAAAAAGGCTTTTTTAGGTATTTTTAGCAGCGACGCGTACTTGTCATTAAATGGTAATAGATCTGCTTTGATCAGAAGATTGAAAGTGGCCCCTGAGGCTTTCCCTGTTCTCGCTGATGCAAAACCGTCCTGACATCTTGGCTTGGTCTTCTTCTGGGTTTGGTGGCTTTAGCCATCTTGGATTGGCATGTCCATAGGAGTTAATTCATCCCGGCACCATGGCGTGCCAAGAGAAGATCACTGGCAGGCCAAAAAAAACAACAACTCATTGCTGAAGACACATAGTTTGTCACTTCAATTTCTTTAAGACATTGGGTATAAATGTCAGCAGAGTTGGCACTAGAGTTTGCAAGGCCTTAAGGGAAACTTAAACATTAGACCCCACTCAGGCCCATAATGGCTCTGTAGGGTCTCGCCAGGGCTCTATGGGGTTAAACCATGGCTCTGTAGGGTCTCACCTGGGCTCTGTGAGGTCTCACCAGGGCTCTATGGGGTCTAACCAGGACTGTGCGGGCCAGGTGCGACCAGGGCAGCGCAGGCACAGGGCGGGAATGGGCAGGACCGGGTGCTGACGACTCCAGCTGACTCTGACGTTAAACTCAGCCTTCCCAGCCAGGCTGAGATCCTCATGCGGAGGATGGGAGGGTTGACGTCTCATTTGCTGGTGGGTGGAGCTCCGGAAGGCAGCGTGGATGGATGGAGGAAACAGATGAGCTCTCAGCTTGCTAGCTATAGGGCTGGGTTGCTCATAACGTTGCCTGGCTTGCGACTGCAAGGTAATGCGCCGGCCGGGAAAATTAGGCAGCCGCGAGGCCCTTGGGAGCATGAGGCCTTAGGCAACTGCCTAATTTGCCTAATTAAAGAGCCGCCTATGCCTATGAATAATACTGTCAACTTGTTGCCTAAAGAGAACCTGTATGCAGGATAGCGAATAGTCCTTTAGATCGTTTTGACCGAATTAGGAAGTGAGCAATAGCTGTAAAACTCACATAATTAATTTGGCTCTAAGTAAGAGGCTTTTAGGTAGTAGACCTTTTGTCATTCTCACAGGTTCTCTTCAATTCACTCATTTTTTTTTCAGGGATAAATTAGATAGACTATATGGCCAGAAATCTGTGGAAACCTGAGCATCACACCTGCAGAAGCTTGTTAGACATACCATCGCAAAACTATGGAAACGAAAATGGAGTTCCTCCCCATGGCAGCCTTGCGGCTATAACATCCTCCAGACTTCTGGGAAGGATTTCCACAAAATATTGGAGGGAGTCTATGGGAATTGGTGCCCATTTGTCCATCAGGTGCTGATGTTGGGTGAGAAGCCCTGGCTCACAATCCAAGTTCCAGTTCCTCCCAAAGGTGTTCAGTTGGGTTGGGGTCAGGGCTCTGTGCAGACCACTAAGGTTCTTTCACACCAAACTGGTCACACCATGTCTTTATGGAGCTGGCTTTGTAGGGGACAGTCATGATGGAACACAAAAGGGTCTTCACCAAACTGTGACCACAAGGCTGGAAACACACAATTGTCTACAATGTCTTTGTATGGTGTAGTATTAGCAATACCTATTCACTGGAAACAGCTGAACTTAACCCTTTGGAGGAGTATCCACATCATTTTGGCCATAGAGATAGGTGTGACCAGTGGCGTAACAATCGCCATAGCGACCCAGACGACCGCTATGGGGTCCGGGCACAGGGGGGCCCAGCCAGGACATCCCCCTGATGCCATGCGAGCCGCCTGGGTCTCTATGGCATCTCAGGATGCTGGCTGTCACTGTGAGGAGGAACGCTGTCAGTGATGTGTGCAGCGGCGCGTTCCTCCTCACAGCTGCTGCTGAGTCAGTGACAGCCAGCAGCTGCGGAGGAGGAGGCTGGGCCCGGCGTCGGCAGCAGAGGAGGAGGCGGGGCCCGGAGATAGAAGAGGAGGCGGGGCCCGCCAACGACCGTGGAGGAGGAGGCGGACAGCAGATCGGGGCTGACAGGTAAGAAGTGTGCAGGGGTGTGACCAGCCCACCTAAGACCCTACAGAGCCCACCATAGAGTCTATGGTGGGCACTGCACAGTCACTCTCAGGTGGGCTGTTTGGGATATCAGGTGGGCTCTGCAAGGGGCGTAACTAGAAATCACCGGCCCCCATACTAAATTTTGCTTTGGGGCCGTGTGATTTTTTAGTTATGCCCCTGGGTGTGATGGTTAAACTTTTGGCCATGTAGTGTAGATAATGAGATTGATAGAATGTTTAAAGGAAAATTTTACACAATTTCAGTTTTATGTGTCTACAGGAAAGTTGACCCGCATAGTGACTTCTTATACCTCTGTGGGACTCCAGGTTCTGCCCAGCTTCCTTGGCTGTTACAAAGCCAGATTTTATATAAAGCTCCCCACCCCCCTTTCCCCACCCCCT